GAAAAAGAAAACAAAATATATGGAAAAGAAGCATCAGAAAAAATAATTCAAGAAATTTTCCTACAACTACACTACATGGGTTTCTAGACTACAGAGCCTATCGAACACCCAGTAATCATGTGAAGTACCAGATCTCTGGAATCAAAAAAGATTCTACAAGTTTCTAGAGAGAGAATTAAAAAAATAAAAATAAAAAATATATACATATACAAAGGATCAGGAATCAGAATAGCTTCAGACATCTCAACAACACTGGAAGACAGAGAAAGAGTGCCCCTTTGGAATTTTGATCGCTAAGAAAAATTATTTCCGACCTAGAATTCCGAAACTAGTCAAACCTGTAATCAAAGTGGAAGGTAAAATAAAGGCAAGTTTTCCCCAAAACATAGTTCCCATGTACCCTTTCTTTCTCAAAAGGGACTAGAAAAATCATTCCCCCAAAATGTGGGAGTAAACCAAGAAAGAAAAACATGGGAAGCCACAGAATATAGGAAACAAGACACAACAGAGGAGAGATATGAAAGGCAGCTAGCTGGTGAAGAGAGATTCCAGAAAGACCGCTGTCAGCCGCTCAATGGTGCAAACAGTTCCAATCAGAGCAGGACAACAGAGGGCTTCAGGAGTAGGCCTCCAAGGAAAAAACAAAAGGCACAGATTACTTATTTTGACAGTGTTGAGAAGAATGTTATGGGCCTGGCAGTCTAGGGATGAATTAGTGAAGGGTACAGAGAAACTTAAGAGAAATAACATGGCAATAATTAACTAATAAGGTTTTGTTTTTCTTTTTACAGTTTCTCCCAGTCATTTATTTATTTATTTATATTGTGATTTGGACGAAGATTTACAGAGCAAATTCACTTTCCATACAGCAGTTCACACACACTTTGTCTCATGACATTGACCACTGTTTACCACAATACAATAGCTCCCCTCCCACTTCCTCCCCATAGTTACCTCTTCCCAGTGTCCAGCCCTCCATGCACTCCTGCCCCGAGGTGTCTCCCTGTGCATATGCTGCCCTTCTTTCTCTCATGATTGTTCTCTCCAAGGAGTGTATTGACCTGAGGTAAATGTTTAACTCATATGCCTGTCTTTTGTTTGGCTGGAAACCACAGGTGTGGGTTAAATTCCAGACCTGAAGGGCAGCTAGGAGCCATAGTCTCAGCAGTTCCACCAGGCTCTATCAGACCAGCAAACCTGGTCCAACCCCCCCCCCTCTTTTTTTCCCCCAAATGATTTTGAGTTTTGTTCCATTGTTCTCCCTCTCTATCAAGGATCTCCTACATAGATCCCCTTCCATGTGGAAGACATTGGTAGCCAGGCACCATCTAGTTCTTCTGGTCTCATAGTCGTACAGGCTGCAGATTGGATGGTGTACTAGTTGCTAGGACTGTTTCCATGAATTTTGGTTTTCTTCATTCTTCTTTGCTCTAGACGAGGAGATCCATCATTGCATCTAGATGGCAGCTTGCTAGCTTTTAAGATCCCAGTCGCTACTCGCCAAAGTAGGAGATGAAACAATGTTTTGTATAGTATGTTATGCCAATCGAGCTTGATGTCGCCTGCGACTATGGTCCCAAGCCCACAGGTTCAACTACTCGGTCCCTCTGGGTAGCTGGCTGTGACCAAGCAGTGACCACAACCTTGCCCCTTGT